AGCGGAAGTAAAGGTACCTTTATATCATATCAAATCATATCATATCATTTATTGTTGTCGTTCTGTTATTATACCTCACATTATATTAATTTCATCGTTTTTCGTGAACTCTACTTTATATGACCATATCATTATTATTACTGTCATCATAATCACCATTTTTTATGATAATATAGTAATTTATACTTCTGTCAATTCACTTGCTCAGAAATTTTATTTTAGTCCTTAATATATCTTGAGAATGAACTGCATTTCAAGCATTAGTGCTGCTGCTGTGATATTAATAATTATGATTAATATAACTATTCTGTTTATGGGCTGAACGAAGTACAGTGCTTTTTTTTTCGCTGCAAGTGAAGAAATATTTGCTCAAATTATTATCGCGTATATTTTTATCCTAGCTGTATTAGGTTTCGTAATGTAATCGTACTGTAATACATTGTAATCAGTGTTTTCACCATCGTCCTTTTCATGACAATTTTCAGAGCTTAGAAATGACTACTTCAGTGTACCTATAATTCGTTCATTCAGGTCTTTTAAAACGAACTTGTAAGCTGTGGTTTAAGAACTACTGAATTGTCATCATCAAATTAGATATCCTTTTCTTATCAATTATCTGACTCAGATAATTTGTCATCAGTTACTCATTTATCATGTTCTGTTAATATCAAAAAACTTCTGCCTGCATGTCCAATAGAAATTAGCAAATGCGACATACAGCAGTTTTTACTTGAGTAAAGCAAAATTTATCACTCTGTTGTGTTTGATAAAGCAAAAATTTGGATGACTTAAATAGTGAGTTTAGATGAAATTAGTACAGTCAGAAATGATTTCAGAAAGTAGTTTGGCGAAGACGAATCGATTTTAATGTATTTAGATTCGAAATGAATATGATCTTTTTATAACAAGTCAAATACTATTGCAGTATTTTCATTATCGAAGTCAAAGGTTAGAAGTGACATATTTGCTTGGTGTTATTAAGAGTGAATAGGAATGATGATGAATAACTCATTGCATAGATATTGATGATAGTATACTGAAGTTACAACATCGGTAATATTGCTTCTCAAGAAGTTTAAAAGTTATCATTAAGGATGGAAGAAAGTGAGGACTGCATAAGGTGAAACTATTGCTAGTTGGATGCTATGAAATCCTTTTTTTGTTGTCTTCTCAGCCATCCCAGCCACAGTTAAGAGAAGTTCGATTCTGTGTTGCTGTGCAAGAAGTAACTTTAAAATGTAATTTTAATTGAGAAACATAATATTTAGATGAATAAGATTACAGCTGGCATGTGACACTAAGATGATTGGATGGATGATGTCTTGCTCCAATAGAACACCCTTGTTGATCTCGTATGATTATCTTGCAATTCTGTTTATTATGACAACTTTGATGGGGACTTGTTATCTGATATCCAATTATTATTATAGCTTACATTTTTTCTTATAGGTAAAGGTAAAAGATATCGATATCTTATTCACCAGTAATTATGCATTGCATGACCGAAATAACTGAAAGACATTTTGATGCAGGTGCAGTGCACAGTCTCATGCGATTTGACTCTCATTAGCAGCGAAATAGACAGAAGTTAAATGTTTAGTTGGAAAAATAAAGCATGTATTCGTACTCACACATTGCTCAGTAATTGCAATTACTTAGTGCTTTTTATGTTAAACTATGAAGTCTGTATTGATTGGTTCCGCATAAATTCAATTAACATCTTGAAAAAGCATTAGTGGTAGTAGTAGTATCATTAGTAATATTAATAGCGGTAATGATGAAAGCATTATACTCAGTCAGCTGCTTATCGATTTTGCTTCAGGCATACGAGTTTGTAGAGTTTTTGATATAATTTTGCATGAAAATAGGAAATAGCATTGACTTTGTATCAATGAATTGTAATAAAGAGAAAAAGGGATTTTTGGAATTTAGTACACGGGGATTTTTTAAACCTGAATTTCGTGTTATTGAGTTACTGTTCTCATTAAATCTGATAAGCTGTAGTTGTTGAAAGAAGATGGAAGGCATGCAGCGTGGTAATAGTTGAAAGTGCTACATTATGTTGAGTCTATTGTAATCATTTGTTAGTCACCATATGGTTTTAGTCCTTGTGATCAAGTAGTAAAGGCACTGGTGGTCAGAGAGATATTTGACCACTCTATGGATTTAATACAATTCAGGATGTTTTACGGTTGTGTTCAAAACACGATGAAAAAGGTGGAAAGCAGAAATTCATAATACTAGCCATTTCAGTTAGAGAACTGTTTGCTTTCTTTTTTCTATTAAATTAAGATATAGAACTGATAATTTGTTAAAATATAAGTCAGCTGGATAATAATTATTGTTGCAGCAATAACATTTTAGCCAAAGTTTTTGACACGAGCGGAACGTGAAGCAATAGCTTTGAAAAAGCGTGAAGAAGAAGTGGCAAAACAGCGAGAACTGCAGAAAGCTTTATTGGAAAAACGGAAGACATTCATACAGGATGGCAAACGAATAGGTTTAATGGTTTTCTTGCACTTTTGAAATTAAAGACGAATTTTTGTGTTTGATTCTCGTTCTCTGTCTTTCATGTAATTTCATATCAATTCTAAATCACTTATTTTTCTTGTGCTATGTTCATTTATATTTCTGATTTTAAAATTTGTAACAGAAAAAGAACGTGAAAGAGAGCGCAAAGAACGTGAACGTGAAGGCGAACGTGAGCGTGAGCGTGAGCGTGAAGGAGAACGGGAACGTGAGCGGGAACGTGAACGTGAAAAAGACACAGAACGTGAAAAAGAGCGGGAAAGAGGACGGAGAAGCCGAAGTCGTGAAAGAGAAGGTAATTACTAATATGTAATCATTTGATTTTGGTGAAAACTTAATTTTTAATTTTTTAACTATGAACTCTGAAGTAATTCGATATCTTGCCTAGGACGAAGAAGTAAAAGTCGAGAACGACGCAGTCGTAGTCGAGATAAACGTCAGGATACTGACAAAGCCGATCGTAATGGGGATACGAAAGACGATCGAGAAACTGATAAGGATTTGGAGAAGCTCAATGAAGCTATTCGTCTGCGTTATCTGGGTAATTGAATACAGATTAATTTTCATTATTAACTGTTGCAGTCATGCAATTGTGCTATGTTTTGCAATTGTGCTCTTCTTCAAATCACTGTTTTACATTATTGCAATCAAAATTTATCATTATATTCAAAAATATTCTTAGGAGCAGACTTGACATTAGAGTATTTTGTTTTTCGAATAACAATTGCAAATCTCTGTGTTGAGTAGATTTTTTACCAGTGTTTCATTTATATCGTTTCAAATATTCTCCTTGATATATACTGTGCTTAGTAACCGTAACTTCTGCAGGACTTTTATTTTTTTATTTGATTTGCATGTAGCATGACATTTCCCATTGACGTCTCGAGCACATCTTGAGTTCTTTTTATTGTTTATTATACAATGAAATTAATTGTTTGTATTTGAGGTGGGCAACGAGAAAAACGCAAACGTGGTCGTCGGCTACATGAACGGAAGTTTATTTTTGATTGGGATGCTGGCGAAGATACTTCTAATGACTACAATAAATTATATCAAAATGTTATTCAATCTTCATTTAGTTTGCATAATCAGAAAAATTTGTATTTTTTAACATGTATCTCAAACTTTTAATAATTTTGAATATTTTCTACTTTTAGCTTATTATATCTCACTTTTTCATCTTTTTTATTTTCTTCTGCTTGCGTATCGCTTATTGAAACATTAATTTTTAGTAAGAGAAGAAAGAAAGTAAAAAAAGTAAGAAGTTCATATTGACGTACGACAGTTTGTTTTTTAATTAGCAGATAAAATTCTATCAATGTGAAATATCTAAATTTTATGTGTTCCAGAAAATAATCATGACTTAATCACAAATTGCAGAGGCACGAAGTGCAATTTTTTGGTAGGGGTTCCATTGCGGGAATGGATGTAAATGCTCAGAAAAAGCAAAAATCGGAGTTTTATGCAAATTTGATGGAAAAGCGGCGCACAAAAGAAGAAAAGCAACAAGAAGAACTACGGTAAATACTGTATTTGATAGCTTTCATCATTTTAGTTTAATGTAATAATTTTTGATTGCAACATATACAGTTTGTTACCTTTTTTCAGCTTAGCTGGTGTAAAGAAGAAAGAAAAAAAAGAAGCATTTGATAATAGACACTGGACGCAGAAAAGTCTGGATCAGATGACCGAACGTGATTGGCGGATATTCAGAGAAGATTACAATATTTCTATCAAAGGTGGTCGTGTTCCAAAGCCACTGCGTAACTGGGAAGAAGCTGGCTTGCCATCAGAGGTCTACGATGTTATCATGAAAATTGGATACAAGGTTAAACAATTTCATAAAAAAGTTACATTACAAGGCATTTTTTCCTCATTTCAAAAAAATATTGGCAGTATAATAAGTGGAGCTTTTTTTATTACTGCAAATTTATAATTAAAGTGTTTGTTTTTAAAAATAACAAAATCATGGTACTTAAAAGGCCTTACAAAAGGTGATTGATCTGTTTGTAGGAACCAACTCCAATTCAACGACAAGCGATTCCAATTGGTTTGCAGAACAGAGATATAATTGGTGTGGCAGAAACTGGCTCGGGAAAAACAGCCGCATTCTTGATACCACTTCTTGTTTGGATCACATCAATACCCAAGTTTCAGGGTAATGAAGACCAAGATTCGGTAAGCTCTTTGATTAATTTATTTTTTTGATCATATTTTTTGTAACTTTTTAGGGTTTAGAAACAAATAAATAAAGAATTTTCATAATTCTATTTGCAATGAAAGATGTTTTTATTGCAATTTTGAAAAAGATTTCGTATTTTATCTTTGCTGTTTTGTGCTAAAGTTTTGTTTCAACAACTGGTTGAAGTCATTAATCGTTGAAAAGTTATTTACTGCACTGAATTTATAAATTTTTGTTCTATTTAACTGGTTAAAGTTTTCCTCACTTGTAATATAGTAATTTAAAATTAAATAATAATGGTCCTGCGATCGATCAATAAGTCTTTTTCTGAGATGACGCTTTTTCTAGGATTATTCATCTGTTTTTAGTCCTATAATTTATTTTAACGCAGAGGCTACACGTGTTTCAATTTAAAGTTTTGGTTTTAAATAATGCAGTGTTGTTATTTGTTTTCATTTAAAAAATCTTGTCATGTTTTATAAGTGAAAAGCGTTTTATATTATCTTTGCTAGGGACCTTATGCTGTTATCATGGCACCAACACGTGAATTAGCGCAGCAAATCGAAGAAGAAACAGTGAAATTTGGACAGTTACTCGGCATTCGAACGGTTTCTGTAATTGGTGGTGCTTCGCGTGAAGAACAGGGTTTGAAACTTCGTCTAGGTGTTGAAGTATGTGGTCAAAATTTTTGTTCATTTCTTGTTTCTTTTTGTTAAAATAACTTCGACATAGCATGAATGTTAAAGTGCCAACTAAGGTCTTTCTTTTGCAAAAAGTGCCTTTATTTACAGGTTAATTTGATGATATTTACGACATTAAGTAATGTCGTTTTCTTCATATTTTGTTATCGATGAATTTCACTGGTTTTTTGATTAACAAATCGATTATGTTCCTTTTTTATGAAAAGCACATTTGATGCTCTCAATCCAATAGATTTTACTAGAATTAAGGAAGCGTAATTATAATTGTGAGAAAAATGTTTCTTTTATTTTTTAATACTTGATATTAACATTCGTTTTATCCATCTTTCTTTTTTCTCTTTTAGTTAATTAATTAATTATTAATTTAAAAAATTTTCAAACTCTGTTCTCCAAATTGATTGTTCAACAGATATGAATGGTCATCAATATAGGAGCAAATTTTTCTCTTGATCAATTTTTTAATTTTTGACATGAAAGCGTAAAATGATCCAATTCGCTGGCAGTGACCTTTTATAAAATAGGAAGGTGACAAAAGATAAGAACGACTGATTAGTTTCAGCGAAGATAAAATAGTACTATTAGCATAACGCTCTGTGATTCAGTACGTTAGGAAGAGAAGATATTATTATTTGTCGTAGGAAGGAAATAATATTCATTTGCTTGACGCATGAAATATGTTCTACACATCAATTTTTTTTTCTTGATAAAAGGGAAGAATTGTTTACTAAAGTAATAAAGAACTTTTATGATTTGAATTTTTATTGTTGACTGTTCATGTTTGCCTGGAAAGAATCATAATACCAAAAATCAATGTTATGCTTCTGTAGGTATATATGTATATATATAGGGTTATTTTTACTTGAGTAGGATAGCAGAATTGTAACATTAATATTCACAGTTTTGCTCATCGTTTACTAACATTCCTTGTTTTCTTGACATAATTTTGCTAGCAGCTGTTGTGTAGTTATAAGTGAAATCAAGATTATTTTTGAAATGTATTTCTAAAAGTTTTTCATGTTATAGCATTTTGTTATTATGTACGAAATTTCATAATGGTAACCTTCGTCTTTTTGGTCAAATTTGATTTTTTGTGTTGAATTGTTTGGTCAAAGTAGGGCTCCTTAAACAAGGAATTGAAATTATATTTGAGAACGTAATTTGTCTAACAGCCTGTCATATCTTGATTGAATTCTGTAATACAGTAATTGAGTAAAGTTCCCGTAAATTTTTATTTATAAAACAATTTGAGGTTGTTATTGCTACACCGGGGCGTCTTTTGGATGTTTTGGAAAATCGGTATTTATCATTGGACCAGTGCACGTATGTCATACTTGATGAAGCTGACAGAATGTTGGATATGGGTTTCGAACCAGAAGTCCAGAAAGTAAGGGGATCATAATTTATTCCTGAAATATTCCAAAATTTTTAAAAAATTTTTCTTATCGCCAATTATTTGCGCGAAATCTCAAGTTTCTGATCCTTATTTCTTCACCGCCTAAAATATGGTTATAAATCTTCTCTTTTCAAGATATCACTGTTCTGTTCGTAATAATATCAGAGTAACCCGATTGGTTTTTGCTTAAATCAATATCATGTTTGAATAGTTCGAAACATACGGAATTTCAAATATCTCTATTTTCGAATTTTTGGCATAAATAAAGTATTTTGGTTTGAACATCGATCAAATATTTTTTTTTGTCCAAAGCCCATTTTATTCCTTTGTTTTCTCTCAGGTTCTTGAATATATTCCCGTAACCAATTTGAAGCCGGACACGGAAGATGCAGAAAAAGAAGAATCTATAATGGAAAATTTTTTCTCAAAGAAAAAGTATCGTCAAGTAAGGTTTTTTGGCACTTTTCCCAATATTAGAAAGTTATTTTTTATCAACTTTCAAATTAATTCTGAAAAGTTGGAAAGAAATAATTTTTGTTGAATAGAAGCTATGTTTTCTATGCTAGTTTTCGCCTTTTTATTATTATAAATATTTAATTATTTGTATTTGATTTATGAATCTTATCTGTATTTAAATGCTTTCTTTATTCATTTTTCACTAGAAATTTAAATGCTGGCCATTATGATAGTTAAATTTGATTTGATTCATGCAAAGTCAATCAAATGATTAAAAAGTATTTATATAAGTAGAACCTGCATTCTAAAATCTCAGACATTTCGATATCAAAGATAATACCAGAATTTTATTTTAAATTTTTCTCGATGCTAATGTAAAATGATCTGAAGCTTGGAGCTTACCAGATTTATCATAAAAGATAAAGGTTTGTAATTTGAGACTGTAATGTTTACGGCAACGATGAGCCCAGCGATTGAACGCTTAGCTCGAGCTTATCTACGGCGCCCAGCTGTTGTATATATTGGTTCAGTTGGTCGGCCTACAGAACGAGTGGAGCAGATTGTGTACTTGATCGGTGAAGAAAGCAAGCGCAAGAAACTCGTTGAATTAATTTCGTCTGATACGTTCGAACCGCCTATCATTATTTTTGTCAACCAGAAACGGGTATATTTTAAAGTGCTACTGATGCAAAATTACATGTGATGAAGATTCGATTCCTTAATTAAATGCAGTATTATTGACTATTAGTTCTTTCTATAATAATTTGATTCTTTATTTCACAGGGAGCAGATATATTAGCCAAAGGTCTTACAAAACTTGGTTTCCAACCGTGTGTTTTGCATGGTGGCAAAGGTCAAGATGCTCGTGAGTATTCATTAGCAGCACTAAAAGATGGTTCTAAAGATATATTGGTTGCAACGGATGTTGCTGGACGCGGTATCGACATCAAAGATGTTTCTTTAGTGCTGAATTATGATATGGCAAAATCAATTGAAGATTACACTCACAGAATAGGTCGAACAGGTATAATAACTTTCTAACTATTTTCTGTAATGCAAAATTATAACACAAAGCTTATTTAAACATGCGTAACTTGAATTCCATTCTCTTGTTATGCATTTATTCCTTCACTTATAACTTTTTATACTATCATTGTATAAGCAAACTATTCGCCTTGTTAAAGGCAAAAAAGTAGTTTAGGAAATTCGTTCTGAGTGCTTTGCTTGAATATTTGTATCGAATTCAAATTATCTGTGCAGTTTTTAATTGAGTTTATCTATGCATTATTAGAAAAGACCAACTGAAATATTTTTGCTATTTTCTTGTGTCGTTTTGAAATGGAAGTACATTGGGAAAAACTGACAAAAGTTTAATTTTTTTATCTGAAAAGCTTTGAATAAAATACGAAAGAATAAGCATGGTAAGGGACATATTATTAATAAAAACTGAGAATTAGATTAGAAATCACGAGCACTTAACCTGGGTATAAATGATCTGGGATTGTGAGACTCTGTGAGATTGTAAAAAGAATATAAATATTTTACTTTTTATTGCTGATTGATGGAATTCTTGATGAGTAAGCAATCTGTTTTCCTATTTCCACTATACATTCGCTAATTCTTTCTCCAAAAAGTAGAGAAATTTTCACTAATATTTTATTCTTGAAAAGTTGAAAATAAGTCATTTGATTTGCATTCTTTGGACTGCAGTGGCGGCAGCAGCACCACATTGGGTTAAAAGCAGTTTTTCACATGAAATAAGCTTTAAAAAGCTAGACTTTATTTTTGTCTCTTATTTTTGCGCCAGAAATTTCCGTTTTTTATCTAGATTGATTGCTGTAAGCATTCTATATGAATCTCATTTTTACCCTTTTACATTAATTAATAAAAGGCGCGGACAGAAGAGTTTTGCGTTCAAGAATGTTTCCATGGCTGCTGTTATTGCTGCTTTGTTTTATCTCATTTTCATTCTCTACTTTTGTGCCCTTTTTACTTCTTGTATTTCTATATTCTTGTCATATTCTTATCAGTGCTTTCAATCAAATTATTGATAAGAGGAAATGAAGCAAGAAAGACGGAGAGAGACATATTTCGTTCCGGATTTTCAGAATTTTATTCAATCTAGCTAATATAGATGTAGTAGATTAATTGTGAATTGATCTTGAGTAATGGAAAAGAATTTCTATTTATTTTTCTAGCCAAGCAGTTTCAAAATATTAATTGAAAAAATTTTATTATTTTCCTGTATTCTTTTGACGTGCAGTACTATCTTTAGATAAGCAATGTAACCAGCTCTAGTGATTGTAAGCATATGGCAGAAATTGATTTCTGATTTACAGAATGATTCGTTTTTCAATAAGCAGCTTATTAATTGTGTTTGATTTTAAGTCTGAATTTTTTTCACCATAGATTCAAAGGCATTACTTACTTCAACTTATTCTTTATCATCAAAAGTTTTTCATGTCACATCTTGCAATTTGTGATGTTTAATGAATTTAGGTCGAGCTGGAAAGCATGGCAAGGCGATAACTTTCTTGACTCCTGAAGATAAGGATGTATTTTATGATTTGAAGCAGTGCCTTCTTGAAAGTCCAGTATCTACTTGCCCACCTGAATTAGCTAATCATCCTGAAGCTCAACACAAACCTGGAACATTTGTTGTCAAGAAACGCCAAGAAGAAACATTATTTCGGAACTGATCATTTTTCATTTGATTGTTGAGCAAAAACCTCACCAAATGTTATTTGTTTATTGTCTTACGTTGTGTTATATCTTAACATCAAAATTTTTCCGAACTTTCTATAACTTACATCCTCATATGAATATGCATAATCTATTTTACAGGAAGTAACAATGAGATTATATGCAATATTATTTCTTTGCAGTGTCATCATGGCACGTTTAAAATGTGAGAAAATTTAATTCATTTTGTTCTTCTTGGGAAATGAATGCAATAATTTTTATTATCAAGTTGGAAGAGTTAACTCTTTGTTGACCTACTTTTTAGATATTATTAAGTCTTTGGAACCACTGATTTTCAATGACATCTCAGCGAACGCGTAGTTTTTATCCATTTAAAAAATAATTCATAGAGAACTTAAGCTTGATTCTGATACATGAAAATTACAGTTTGAATTTAGTTATTTATCAAGTGTAAAAAAGCCTGACACCGTGTTTGGTGATTAAATAATGTAAACGCATCAAAATTGTTCGTTTGATCTGTAAAAAATGTTTTAGTGTAGCGATTCGTCAATTCATTTGTAACTTTTTCTCATGAATTATTAACATGATTGACTGATTTCTATTTTTTTTCCTTGTTTCTTTTACTATATGTTTTTCTGCCAATGAAGTACGTGGAAAAATTATAAGGTGAATTAGAGAAAAGTATCATGGGGTGAGTTTAGAAGTCTTAAATCTATAAAATTAAATTAAATTAGGGAAATAGGATGTGTTACAAGTTCAGAAGGTTACGTTTCCACTTGCTTAAGAGTGCATCTGATGCATTAGTTTGGGTGATTGCAGCTAAATGAAAGTCTTAAGTTTAAGAAAATTATATTGGTGAGGTGTTATCCGCGTTAGTAGATTTAAACTATTCAGAAAATGGTTTGCAGATTTATTGTGTGGTAGAGCAGTCGAAGTAAATATATCTGCTGTCACTTCTAAATCTTTTTTTCTGTATAATGTTTATTCTTAAAAATCATAGGAAGTTTGAAGCTGAGTGAAAATTTTAAAATCAAAAAGTGCTTATGGTTTTCGTTACTAGATTCGTAGGAAAAATTTCTCTGGAAAGTAAGTGAAGCAGTGTTTTAATATACAAGGTATACTTTTATATAGAACGTAGAAATTAGCAGCGGAATAAGAAGAAAATAGGGAGGTAAATAAAGATAGAAATGTGTGCGGTAGAAGAAAACAGGTATCTCTGTTTTTTGTGATTTCAGTTGACAATCATGGTTTTCGTAATGTTCTTTATTGTTTTCTCTGATTTTATAGGTTCAATTTTAGTTCAACAAAGATTAATTGTGGGACTTGTAAAGTTTTTTAAGCATGACAACTTTGTTCAAAAGGTGTAAAACTCGCAGGATACTTTCATTCATGTTGACAAGTTTTAATTTGTAAATTGTAGGTTTTTGTTGCTATTTGCGATTTTCGACGTGAACGGGTCGAGTTCAATTTTTGTCGATTTGTTAAATTCTTGTTTATTTCAGAATCAGTAACAGGCGTGGTATTTGATAGTTTGTATTCAAGAACAAGGAAGAGCTTAGACGAGAAGTACAGATAAGCTGGTCCAATTTAGTGCATCTGACTCTAATGAGTCAAGTGCACGTCATGCAATAGCATTTAAATGGGAGACGATGATTGGCCGTCACAACGATTTCGGGATCATGTTATCAGTCGTTTGGAACCCGAATTAGCTAGAAACCGACAAAATGCTCCAAATTTACCAGTTCCCGGTGATGCAAGACAGGTATTGTGTGAATTTCGTATTTGGAATCAAAATATTATGATTACAGTTTGTTACCGATTTTTAGAGCCTACCATTTTTTTTCATTAAATTTTTCTGCTTCTTGAAAATTCTCTTTAAAGAGTTTAAGTTTCATGTCATTCTTTATTTGTTGTCCATCGTATCTTATGTATAACGGATGAATGTGTAATGCCCATTTACTTTTCATAAATGTTGAATTTAAAGATATATTTATTTGCTTATTAGGTAGAAGAATATGTTTTCAACAAATGTGTTAGCAAAGACGAATACATGCGTACGATTGCTAAAGTTATCAATGCAATCAACTGCAATTGTAATATTTTTGCATTAATTTAGAATTTTTAGTTTCATGAGGAATTGATGTTTTTAGAGAACCATTAAAGTAGTTATTCATTATCTGCGTAAGAAATTAATCTGTTTTTCAAAAGTTCTTAAGTTGTGATGATTCTGCAAATGTATTTAAATCCATATGTAGATAAGAAAGTTTTAATACCATTTGGAACATGAATACTAGATATGTTACATTGTGATTCGCAAGATAACGTCTTGAATTTATTTTCTGAAAAAAAATCTCATTATCACTGAGCAAGTAGATTATTGTTGGCTGTGAGTTTATTATTATTTTAAGAATATCTAAATTATTTCAAAAATAAGGAAAGTTATATTTTTTTCTGCTTGAAAGAAAAATTATACAATATTCTGCATTTAGCAAAAGCTGCAGCGGTGCCATCTTTTCTCCAAACATCACATATGCCTTCGACGACGCAAAACTATCAGACAGTCCCCGGTTCCAGTATACCTCCAGATCCACAACCGACACATCAGCAACAGCAGAGGATTATGGTATGTTTGAAGGAATATTATATTTAATCGTTTTCCTTCGCAGTTTTGATCACTTTCTGGTATTTATTTGACTTTGATATTGAGGAAATTGAATCAGTTTTAAACCTTAGCTGACTATTCGAGTATGCAATATTTTTCCAAGATGAAGTACTATTTCTAAAGTACTGTTACTGGAAGCTAGTAAATAATTTTTTGTAACGGTATGAAATTAGTTACCTATTTATTACGGTGAACTTAATATGTTGAGAATTTTAACAGGAAAGATACCACGCTCCATTACTTGGTCAACCACCACCAATGATCCACTCGCAGCAGTCATCTCCAGGTGCAGTATCAGTTTCTAATGGTAGTATGCTACCAGCACAATCTGTTATGCAACCATCACCTGTTGCACAGTCAGGAGTTTCTCAGCAATCACCTTACAATATGCTTTCTCCAGTTCCTTCTGTTCCTGGGCCACAAAGTAGCTCTCCGAGTCATCAAATGTATAATCATGTAAAAAGTGAACCGAAAGGAAGCAATGGTATGCCTGGCACTGCCGAAGTTCCTCTATCAGATGCGATGCCTCTGAACATGTGGAAACGAGAAGCTTTTCCTTCTAATAGCTATTATCTGGCGGGTAACAAGTTCATTATTATTGATAACAAGTTCAGCATATGTTGAGGATTGAAATATAATATCCCTCAGTACTTGCAACTGCCATTTTATCATCGGTTATAAATTTGCTTTCTGTATTCAAGAGTTTTCTTACTTTTCTTTCCATTTTAAAAACAATTTCACTTTATAAAACTAATATTAAAAATCATGGTCGGTGATTACATATGAATCATTAATATAATTTCTAACTTTTGAAGGTACGTGTGGTGTTGTAAGTTCTGGTCAATATGTTGAACGCACCCATTTATCGGCTCCATTTGGTACATCTGTACCTTGTTCTCAAAATCGAAAAGCCTCGCCACAACAACAACAGCCGTCAGTTTTAGAAAATCTTATCAATTCTCCACATTATGGGTCACCGACTTTGTCGCCAGGGCATTTAAATGGTTCGGGTAATCAAAACGTTGCTGATGCACCATCTGGAAATGCAGTGCAGCCTAATGAAGAGGTGTCTTTAACAATAAATTCAAATCTTAAATGTTTTATGTACTTTTAAGCTTTCGTTCTAATGATAATGATAATAATCTGACTTCCATCTGGTATTGATTGATTTACTTACTTTTGATATGAATGAGACATAGTAGCTGAAAATTTTCTCTTTCATATTTAGTAACAGTAATGAATCCAACTCTTTTCAATCTTATTTCTATTGTTGTTTTTTAAGTGTTATGGGCAAAATGATTTCAGCGTTTATATACAGAAAAATTACGATCGTTAAGACCATATGCCGAAACTTTACGTGCTCGTGCACAACAGTGCTTATTGGAAGGTAATGAAGTCGTAGCAAGTAAATTTGATACAATGTGCAACGTTCTTGATGGGAAATCGTGAGTTCCTATTAAATATAATACGAAAAGCCGGTTTCATTTTTTTATAGCGATTTCTGATTCATTTTCAGGGTTTTGATTTATTAAATACTCCACTTTTGTTAATTAATTTAAAAAAAAAACATTTGTTTTGTAATCAGTAAATACTCACATCTCATGGCGATCAAAATGAAATCGTTTTACTCTATATGATCTTCATTTTTATGAATTTTCACTTTCAGACGGGTATCATATGAATATCTTTTACAAATAGAAGCATGGATCTACAAAAAACAAGAATTTTTGGTAATGGATTATTCATTTTTTTGAGCTTTTTAAATAGCTCATATAAACTACGGTCACACGAAAATAATTGTTGCAATCATTTTATTTTATTTTTCTCAGCAGTTATCGTTAAATGTTGGACCATCACAACCACAGCCGTTGGTTGATGCTGTAAATGCGGTATTATTAAATACTGAAACACAAGCTGGCTACACAGATCGTATCCAAACGAATACAGCAGTCCCGTCCGTAACTCATTGGCCTTTGTCAGCTAGTCAGCCGCCACAACATCAACAAACTTCGCAAATATTGCCCTCAATGGTACCATCTGTAGTATCAATTAGTTCGCTACAAGACACGATGATGCAATCATCAGTGCCTTTGCAATCTACTTGTCAACAGCTAGCGCGGCATTCGATGGAGCACACTTATCAGCGACATGCACCTTATCCTAATCCAAATGCTGCAGTAAGGTCTAGTTCACAGATGCAGTCAATCATGCTGCATCGTGGATCAGTCAAAGTGGTTAATTTTTCGCATATTTCATACTAAGCTCTACGCTTTCATTCTATAAAACTATTCAAAATCCAAATTTTAAAAAATTTGGATTTTGAATAGTTTTTTTAGTAATGACAGTTACATATTTTGTTTTCCTTGAAAATGGCTTTATGATTGATTACTTTTTGTTCAGCAACAAGCGAGAACACCAGCTGCTAGTTTGTCAAGCTTCTCAGAGTCAAGTCGTATACCTACGATTGATTGCAGCGCAGTAGATGATCTTTATGTAATGGATGATTTCTTGCCAACTCCCATTGAAGCAGTCACAAATAGCACGTTGCCACAGGTTTATTCTAGAAATTCATAAAAATAGCTATTATTTGAGACATTTCAGCATTTTTGAAAAATAAACTGTTACTTTTAAGAACACTTCAAAAATGTGCTATTTACGAATTTTTACTAAAGCCAAAATATTTCTGGTTTTTTCGTTAAACTCGTTTTACGTAATTTTGGAAACCATCTTTCTCTGATATAGATGGAGAGCCAATTACCGGAGGTGGTATACCAGGAACTACTAGCTTTGGGAGATCGTTTTGTAGCTGATTCAAGTATTGAAGAAATACCGGACTCACATTCTTTTATCGTTAAATTTACTTTAAGTACGTTTTGAACTCGAATTTATTAAAAAAAGAGGAGATCGGTTGGTCACCTTTCTATTTAATGAACTCACATAGTTATTCTGATCTTTCCACAAAATGGTTTTTCAAATGACACGTAAGTGAAAATATTTGTTATTTGAAACACCATTTTGTGGAACAATATTCAAGCATCAAAAATAATGTTCTTTGAAGCCTCACACAATGTGCCACCGTTACGACTAATTATTCCAAAGGCATATCCAAATGGTGAAGTTCTAGTTGGCCGTGGTGCATTGGATTTAGGTTTATTTCATCTTTGTTTTGATTATATATAATTAAAGATTTAGTTGTACTCGGCCTGTAGGTTTAGTTATACTCGGCCTTTAAAAAGTCTTTCAAAAATTTTTAAAGAAATTAATGTTGCACAATTTTTTTATAAACTGATTTTTCGAACGGATTGTAAGTCCATTTGTATCAAGTAATTTTATATCTCATAAAATTCGAAGATCATTTCATGTATGCAGTTATTTCTCCAGATTCGTTTTTCTTCGATGACTTACAAAATGTAGTACATGAACGTCTGGCTCGTCCTGGTTTACGAACGGTGACTGATTTTCTTGAAGTTTGGGTAAGTTTTTTGTCTGCAGTTGTGAATTTTTTAAATCCATTTCAATCTCTTTAACTTTTACTAAATATCATATTTTAAAAGTATATATAACTTTAGTCGCATAAAAAAGGTCTTATTCACTAAAATAATTTCAATGAAATATATACATCAGAAATTTTTTTCTTGGAAGATCAATTTTTAGGAATCAACGGTACGTGGTTACTATATGGGACAGCACCAACAGTCATTATTACCTAATTCATTTGATGACATCTTACAAAGTACGAATTTCGGGGATTTTCTGTCGTGACATATGTGAATTTTGTTTTCGAATTTTCAATTTTATTCTTGGATCATACGTTAAAAATCTGATGGGTATTGTTATAAGACTGAATGCTGCATTTGATGTGCTCATAAAAAATGCATAAAAAAAGGTAATAGTATTGTTTCTGTTTTTTATTATTTTTCAATTATACATATATTTTCATTGAATTGTTTTTATTGTTTACTTTTTCTAAAATTTTTGAGTTTTTCTTGTACGGTTATTGTTTGGCTAAACGTGAAAGGGAATTAACCTGTGTTGTATTTTCAATTTTGTGGAGCATTATTTTATTCTGTTTTGTTTACTGTACTTGATCAAAATATTGCAGTCAAACTGTATTTGCAAAAAACAGTTCTGGTGTAAAAACCATATGCATAAGTTTGTTTTAACCCCTATTTCTGTTTTTCCTTGCATTGAACAGAACAGATTTTCATCATTTGTGTGAGGAAGCTCAGTTTTGTAGCTTCTACTTAGAAACAAGGTGAAAATTTAAATTATGATTTATTTAATGCCGAACGAGCGTTGTGTATTTTGAATAAGGTTAAATTAAATATATTACAGTATAATTTTTATGAGACTGTATTGCTTTACCGTGGACTTAGTGTAAATTTATATTAAAAATATCTGTTTTGGTTAATGTACTGATAGGTGATAGAGATGCCTTTCTGCATAGTGTGCCTTTTTAGTTTAATTCTGAAATTATTCTCAAGATTTGAGCTGTCTCGTGGTGTAAAAAGAATCTACGAGATCCACATTCACTTCCTTTAGCAGCATTGTTCATTAGTGCAAGCTTTAATAGGTGTACTCGTTTTCTTTAGAGCTAACTGAAATTGTTTGTCTTGAAATGTTTGGCGATATTTTAAGCATCAGTTCATGTTACGAATGACTTTTGAATAGTTTGAAGCTATATATTCTAATCTAATTTAAATGAAGTTTAGATCTGTTAATTTTTAATGACCAGTTAAAACAAGAACTATACAGAGAATGCATGAGTGTGAGCCAATTGAGTCGAGTGCATATGCATATATAGAGATAGAAAAGCCTGGTATGTGGTAAGTTCTCGTAGAGCTCTAATGATTACTATTTCATCTTCATTCAATTTACGGCTAATGATTCAGAGTGGTAACTGTTTTTTATAAGATCTGGTATTAGTAGTATGTTCACTGGCTGTAATGAAATATGGAGGATGAATTGATTGACTGTTTGATTGATTTACAATTTGTAGTATCAAAGTTAACAAAGAATCGTAGAAGGATGGGAACGGAGAATGATTAATGGAAAGTTAAATAATCAATAATAAGCAGTCAGCACTGTTACCGGAAAATAATTGCTTGCATGTTCAGGATAGATTTTAGTAATAGTAAACCACATTTTCCATTAGTCGTTCCTCTCCTATATTACCATCGTATTTCATCGATATAGTCATCTTATGTTGACATTTATAGTCCAGTGAGGCTAGAGTAATAAATCTAGAATAGTAATTAATATTAAGAGGACATGATAAATTGATGTAGCCGATTAATTTAGTATGCGAAGTAAGGTTCGAGCTTACTGTTTTTGCAGTTTTGGACTGAAAGCGAATGGGAAATTTTAGGGAATGTGGAATATGCCGGATTTTGTGTGAATTAGAAGTTTTCGTTTATATTTTTTTCGTTGAACTTTATCAAGAAAGTGTACATGTTGAACATTCTTTGAAGATTTTGAGATGCAATATATTGCTGGAAACGGTGGTGGCATACAACTTTAACATCAAATAACTAGTTAATGGGAACTAGTTTCAGTAGCATACAATGATATCATCGTTACCACTTATCAATCAAATCAGTGTTTTGGTATTCTTCAGTACATCAGAAATTTTGAGTTAAACTAAATGACAGATGTTACATGTAACAAATGTAAGTAGTGGCACAGAAATGAGCTCATTTTTGATTTCTAGCATATATTCAGTTGATACGTTTCGAGTGGCTTAAAACAAAAATAATTTGGCATTTCAAACACGTAGAACATTCTGATTTAAATTCATTTACACATCATATATGCATTCCGCAGCCCAAGTATCGTATGGCTGTAGGAAGTAATACAATTCATGATAATAATTTAAGCTTTAATTTCTAATTTTGTTACGATATTTTATTTTTCATTACTTACGTTGCCAGTAAAATAAATCAGCACTACTTACTCACTTTTTTTCAAATTGAAATATTACGATTATTTAAGTAATATTTTGCCGCGTTAGATCAGGAGCATCAAAAGATGTCTGCATGGCATAATCTTTTAAGCACTTTTGAGGCATCAACAAAATTACTATTTCATTTAGTGGTATATTGTTTAGTAAGGATTTAATTTTTCGAATTACTTTTCTTTTTTTGATATTGTCTTGCTTTATAATATGCTGCCTTGTCGCAAAACATGTTTTGTATTTACAAAAATAAATCCTCACTGAACAAATAACCTCATTTAGCTGTTGGGATGCTTATTAAGAATTCACAACTTGTATCATCAGTTCGTTGTTGAGTAGTACAGCGAAAACATATCATTGTCACACACTTATCAAATAAAATGTTAGTTGTAGGGTTATTATTAGTTCAGTTGTTTAGGAGCACAGTGACAGTATTGTCCTGAAATTGCATTTGGTGGGATGTACAGTAATGTTTTATATTTTCAAATGTAATCATATATTTGATTAGATCTGCGCTTGTTATTTTTTTTCGATTTCTGTAAAGGGTTTTATTGTAAGATTTTTAGGGGATTTGTATTTATTCATCAAATTTAATAGTGCTGTTTTAGTAATTGGCTGTAGTGATAATATTTCAATTAAGTGTGTACTAATTGGTATATGTTTATTGTTGTCCGCAGGAATAGCAGTTATTTGATGTAGTCCCAAACTAATTTTAATAGCACAGAGTTTTTGTTGATGGTAAACTTTAACTATTTTCAAATGAATGAAGGAGTCATTGGGCAGCTATGCCAAATTACAAGAACCGCAGTGCGGTCTTTATGTAAGGTGCATTGGAAGATATCTGCATAAGCATCATCTCTTATGCGGCTTTGGGGCATCAGTTAAATTGTTGAAAAGTTAACTGTTAAAATGCATATTGAAAAGTATTATTGCAATTAGTACCATAGTTCACTTGCTCAGGAAATGTAATTTCAATATTACCTATAGTTTAGTTGTCAAGCACATGTTGATAGTATATTATAGTTAAATACTTTCAACACCTTGATTGTTGAAGCACATTTTTACAAATTTTTAAATGCTAGACTATTTAAATTGGATCATTAATAATTAAGCTACTTATATACTGGCACTTTTTTTTTGAATATTACCATTAGTTTGATTGTTGGGATGTACCTTCAAATATAGTGTTGTGAAATGTGATAATAATCATATTTAATTACTCAGGCGCACATTTACTGTGCATTATTTTTAAACATTGGTTTGTTAGTTAAAATAAGCATCATAGCACTGTTGCCTTTAAATGTTATCATTAGTTTGGTTGTTAGGATATTTATTTTCACAGTACTATTTCCAGTCTGTTTGGTGGGATGTTTATTGCAGTACTGTTCCTTGATGTTATACCATTTTATTTGTTAGGATATACATTGGTACTGTATTATTTTAAAATGCCACTATTACTATACAAATTATGCCATCAATGTACATAAGCAGCATTATTCTTAAGTTTTTTCATTGTTAAGACATACATTTTACAACACTATTTTCTATTATCGTCGCTAATTTGCTTAAGTAAACATCCTTTTTACTAGTTTCAAATTTCATGTTTACATCATTTATGCTCCCGAAAAATAGGTTGTAATTTATCGTTATCAATTATTTCTTTGTAAAACATGTATCGAGATGTGTTATTATTTCTTTTACCTTTACGTTAGAATATCAAGGAGTACATCGACATTGTGTAATATCTTTTTTTGGATCAGAAATAATTGTATATCCACACATAATCGCAGGAAATACAGCCGAGAAGTTCCAAATCTTATTTACTCTTTTACATAGCTATTTGATTAACATTCACACACCAACTATTGTTCGTTCCATACAACGCATGCATCATTAAGCAAAATATATCTAAATTAAAAAATCTATCATTTACAGGGCCCCAGTCAAACGTCTCTCGAAGAATATTAATGTAGACTATATTGCTTTTAAACGCAATTCTTTTCAATGTCTGTGAAATATGCGCCCAAAGCCTATTTTCTGTATATTCATGATGTGTGTCGTTTCTGACTAAATAGAGTTGGTTAGTCATGTTTTTGATTCATCAAAGTATTGAAAATTACGTTATTTTTTAAGAAATCACAGAAGTTTTACTTGTTCTCACGTAATCGTACTGTCACGAGAGAGAAGCAGAATGCATTGAATATGAAGCAACATTTGCATTTCGGATCCCAAATTTTAACTTTTTCAATATATTTTCAGATTTTCTTTATGATGTTTGAAAAAAATTGACTTTAAATCTCATGAAACTTACCAAATTTGCTGGCCAAATACGAACAAAGCAATTAACTTTCATACTTTAATGCATAAAATTGATTAAAAAAATTAAGGTTACTCAAAAGTAGCGCGCTGGATGTAAAAATGCTACTAGACTTTTCTGGATGTAACTGTAATAGTAGACTTGATTCTGGTTTGGAATTAGTTCAGTCGTTTCTTTTTTGATAGAAAACTTTTCCTTCAAGACACAAAACCTAATTAATTCTCACTTTCACAGATCTGAAAACACCATTCCAATATTACTTTGTTTGCAGTAAAACATGATTGAATTAGATGGCATAGGACAATCTTTCCCACAATTTCTGAACAGAAAATTGCCAAAAATTACTCGTGTGCGTGTGTATGTGCGTGTATCCATATGAAATTCTTTGGTGTGAAAAGCAAACACAGTACAGATTCCATTCTAATTTCATTCATAAACAGTAATTACAAGAACAAAATTCATCACAAAATAATATTACAATAGATCGATCAG